AACCACATCCCTGGAAACCAAAAATTTGTCTGCGGTGATGTCATAGAGGCGATAACCTTTCTGATGCATTGGGTAACCCATAAAAACATATGGAATAGCCCGAGGAGAAAATTTATCATGCCCCCTTAAATTTGTAGAGTAGCATAAACACCCAAATACTCTGAGATGATCAATTGTAGGTGGTTTACCAAAAAGAACTTCATAAGGTGTCTTGCCATCTAGAGTCCGACTCGGCATCTTATTGATCAGGTAGGTGGTCGTGACCATACATTCGCCCCAAAGGGTAGTAGGGATGTTGGCTTGGTCTTTAAGGGCACGGGCGACCTCTAAAAGATGTCGATGTTTCCATTCAACTATGCCATTCTATTGAGGGGTATAGACAAAAGAGCTTTCATGGATAATACTAAGAGAGGAAAAAAGTTCCGAACATTGGGTGTTGAAAAAATCCCTAGCATTATCTGTCTGGACTCGTTGAACTGAAACATCAAATTGGGTTTTGACCATGGACAAAAAATGTCGGATAAGAGTGAGTGTTTGGGTTTTAGAGTGCATGAGGTAGACCCAGGTTCCCTGAGAGTAATCATCTACGATGGTAAGAAAATATCTAAAGCCATCGTGATTGGCTGTGTGATATGGACCCCATATATCCATATGAACTAAGGAAAAGGTGCGGTTTATGGAAGGCGTGTATTTGGGGAATTTTGTGTGGGACTATTTTGCAAGAGGACAAATAGGACAATTGGGTTGTGGAATAGATGCACTATGACCCAGACTTTGATGCAAAAGAAAAGAAGTTTTATTAATGTTAAAGGAACTATTACAAGACATTGAATTTTTAGCATCGGAAGCACCTATCCAATAATAAAGGCCTTGGTGAACGTTACCCGAGCCCATCAGTTTCCCAGTCAAACGGTCTTGAAATTCACATTTGTTAGGAAAAAATTTTAAGAGATAGACATTATCTTGACAAAGTTTCGAAACAAAGATGAGATTGAAACAGAAAGCAGGAACAAACAAGACATTATGAAGAATTAAATGTTTATTTAGATGAACAGTTCCTAATTGGGTGGTTGGTGCATGTGTCCCATTTGGCATGCAGACTGATGTGTAAGGTATGGGAAATGTTTGGGATCGCAAATAATGTGGTCACTGGCCTCTAAATCAATTATCCAAAAATTTTCTTTTGTAATATTGGAACAAAAGGATGTACCCGCATAAGATGTGGTATTGGGCTGCGGACTTTGATTTAGCAGTTGCAGGATTTGACGATATTGTTCTTGGCTAAACATAGGGACCGTAGCGTTACTCTCAGAAGTGACAGGGTAACTTACTTTATTGGCAGTGGCAGATCCAGACCTTTGATTTTGGTTGCGGCCATGTAGTTTCCAACAAGTGTCTCTAGTGTGATTCCTCCTTTTGCAAAAATCGCAATAACGATTTTTGGTGGACTTGAAGGACCCTTGGGAGGAATTAAACTTTGTGAAGTGGGCTGGGTTACTGCCTGAGTTTGGGCCAGCTGCAAAAATGTGGCTATTTCTGGAATTTGGGCTAGTGACCAAATTTGGGCCTAAACGGTTATTAAGCCCAGTTGGGTGTGAGCCGTTGGATGAAGAGATCAAATCTGGGACGTGAACTCCCCCATATAAATTATTGTGTTCACCATTAGTTTGCCCTAGCCTCCCCTTGTCGTTTCCAGTTTTGGTTTCAGATTGTGCACTCTGCCGCCAGTGGGAAGGAACAGCGAAGGCAACCGCTTCAGTCCTAGATTGGGTTTCAGACGAAGTCAATCTCTGGCTTTCATCTTGTACGGCCAGTTGGTAGGTGCGCCGGAGAGATGGCGTAAGAGTCGTAGCCAACATCTGCATTCGAAAAGCCAAAAAACTGTCATTTAAACCAAGTAAAAATTGTATTAACCTGTTTTGATCTTTCAGGTGTTTGATCTGGTGAAGAATCGTGGATGGCCCTTCAATTAGTTCTTCAATAGCATCGAGCTCGTTCCAAATCGTCGAAAGGCTATTGAAATAAATCATGACTGGCAGATTGTGTTGTTTGATTTTAAGGAGGTTTTTACGCAAAGTAAAAATCTTTGCGAGATCGAGTTAGCCGTACATCTCTAGGATGTTCGTCCATATCTCATGAGCGTTTTCTGTTTGAGGCAAGGCGACATCAATCTTCTGGGTTAGGGAGTTGCTGATCCAGGCGCGAATGAGGGTGTTGCATCTGATCCAGTGCTGGATCAGATGCGGTTCAGGGGGTTGGGGAAGGGTTCCATTGATGAATCCTTCTTTGTTTTTGGTTACCAAAGCACGCCGAAAATCTCTGGCCCAAGTGGCGTAATTTTGAGATCCGGCAAATGGTTGTTTGACGAGTACAAGTTCAGATCCATTGAAAACCGGCAAGAAAAGGGCTTCCCCTGGTTCCGGTCGACCGGTGGAGGCTGGAAGAATTTGGAAAACTAGGTAGGGATTTTGACCCATCAGGTTAGGATTGTGACCCATAAACCCGAATGGGAATGGGCCGGGTTGAAAGTTGGATCTGGGTTGTTGTTTAGGCTCTGGTGGAGGATTTGGACCAGTGTGGGTGTTTGGGCTTGGTGGAGTTTGGTTGTGTGGCCCTTCATTTGTGGCTGTGGATGCTGAGTCTGGTTCAATTGGTATTTTCATCATGTTCCTTGTGCCTCATTCAACAAAACTCATCACGGTCCTCATCGAACCCACCATTGAAGTCCTCATGTGTGCGTCCCCTTCTTCGGATTATTTTGGCCGAAATCTGGCGTTGTTGACTTTCCTCCACTAGCTTCCCCATCCTCCAAAGACCAAAACCCCCAACATTTCCAAGCTTCTCCTCCCACCGTTTGCCAGCCATCGCCTTGTTAGGGCTTCTTGTTCTAAACCAAATTTTGGTGGCTAATGGTAGCCAAAATCCAATTCAACTCCACCATTCGAACCATCGAACTCCATACTACAGAACCCCCTAAACCCCGTCACCTGTTAGCCTGTCGATCGCCAGCCGAACTCACCTCCATCACCATGATTGGGTTTTTATTTTCCTGTGAAATTGGCTTCCATTTGATGTTTCTTTGCGGCTGTTTGGACTTATTGAATGTCTGAGGAATGATTGTGTTGGTTTTCTGGGTTGTTTCCATTGCTTTTGTCTGCCATTTTGCACTCTTTCGTCGTCGCACACCAAGTGCTTGACGAATTGCCCAACTCCAAACAGCGCCGATGATTGAGGAGTGATTGTGTGTGAGGGTGAGAGTGGTTTTGGTTTGGTGTTGGAATTGGTCAGAATTTGGGCTCAGGCGGGCGAAAATTTGAATTGCGATTGTTGGCGATTGAGGGTTGATCTTTGGTGGGGGTATTTTGGTTTTTACAGTAAATATCACAATTTTTAATGGAAACTGTTAATGGAATCTAATGTTTGGGTAATAAACTGGTATTTTAAAAGTGTAAGGGTGAGAAAGTGTTACACCATTAGTCCATTATTTAGGTGGAAGAAAGTAGCTAACCCTTAATATATGCATAATAAATGTAACGTTATGACTTAACAATATAAAAATTATGTCACATCACATTGTCTAAAATTTTTTATATACACAATTGTAATATGTAGTATTAGTCATTATTAAGTAAGAATAAAATCAGTCAACAATAATAAATGTAAATCATAGGGTATTATTAACATTTTTCTTTTAATAATTCAAGTATAATCGTGTCTAACAGCATCGTAAATGGATATTTTATAAAAAAAATGAATAATCGTGTCATAAACTAATTGTGTAATCCATTTAATTAATCATATGTCACTAGACGATGTAGTTAGGTAAAAACATAAGAACTAAACACGATATTATTAATAAATGAGTTAATACAATATAAATATATTTAAGACACCCTTAATCCGTTTATTGCTTGAATAGGATAAAATTGTACTTGTATTTTTATTTAATCAAACCTCCCTCCCACCATATTCAATTATATCAATTTTTCATCCCATAACCAAGTCTAAAATTCGTTGTTTCCAAAAGGAACAAACTCATGCTTCCTCTTCTAGTTTCACCATTCTTTTCCTATGTATAGTATACATGACCAAACATAACTAAATGATATTGTACTTCATGTAAAGAATAAATCACCCAAATTTCATAAATCAAATTAGGTATAATTAATGAGTTTGCAAAAAGAGATTGGTTCTAATTATGGGTTTGTGGCGCGGTACAAGTGAAATTTAATGGAGGGATGGTTAATGTAGTGACAATGGAAAAAAGTTAGTAATAAGAAACTATTCCTAAAATGCTATAGTCTCATATAGGAAAGGAAAGTGAATAGAGAGTAGAATAATACTATGTTTATAAAGAAATCTTACAAAGATATTTATACAAATTGATTTTACAAAAAATTAATGTAAAAGTGAATATAATTAGTTTGACTTTTTGTTTTACTATTCTCTTTATTTTTTGTCACTTTATTTTATATAAAAATCTTTGTAAGTATAATATTACTATTAGATAAAATAAATGATAGGTAAATGAGAGACTATTGCCTTGTCACTTTGTATGCTCAACTTTATATACAAACTTTATAACAATAGTATTACTGATTGAAAAAATGAATAATACCATTATTATAAAGTGTATTTGGAAAATTTAGTAGGTAAAATGAATTATCACGTTATGACTGACATAATGAAAATGTAAAATCAACTTACAGAATAAAGATAAATAGTGTGTCAATTAATGAATAATATTAAAGAATAGAACTTGCATCATTCATGTGTACATGTATAATATTTCTTGCATTGAATGCTGTATAAAAAAATTGGGTTGTTGAAACCACTCCGTTTATCAAATTTCATATCTTATACTATTTTATCCTTAATTAGAGCCCTTAGATCATGATAATCAACTCCAGAATCACGATCGTACGGTCCGTGTTACCTTCAAAGCGTCGACATCAGAACAATTTGTGTTTGAAATTACGAAATTGGGCCTCTATTGAATAGACCAATTTCAAATTCAGTCACTATCTCTTACGTCTCCGAATTTGGCGGGACGCATTCACAAAGAAACACAGAATTCAGACTCAGCGAAGCTTCGCAGTCGCAGATAATGGCTTATTCGCCACCGGCTGCCGACGAAGACGGAGCACCGTCGTCGGTCCCACCGCGACGGAAGGGATTCGGGAGAAGGTCGTGGCAGGTAGTATCAGAATCAGGCGAATCACGCTATGAGGATGTCGGCAAGTACTGGATCATGCGGCGTACAGGACTCCCGGCACGTGACCTGCGCGTGCTTGATCCGATGCTGTCTTATCCTTCTACGATTTTGGGGCGAGAGCGTGCCATTGTTGTTAACTTGGAGCACATTAAGGCTATTATTACGGCCAAGGAGGTCTTCTTGCTCAAATCTATTAATCCTTTGGTTGTAGAGTTCGTTCAAGATCTTCAGCATCGTATTTCTTCTCTTCATGGAATGCCTCCGGGACAGGTTTATGAATATTATTTATTTATTTATTTGGTTGATATTCAGTTCAGTGTTTTTTGTTCAAAATTTGTTAGAAATGAGGCATACTTAGTTTACGAAATCTTGCGGTTAAATTTATATAAAAATTCCTGAAAATTTTAAGGAGTCATGGCTAACAAGAAAACAATTAATATATCGATTTTGCTCTTTTTCAATTTAAAGGAAGTTTTAAAGTTTAGTAAAAATGTTGAAAGTTGTTGATGAAGATGGTTTAATTGAAGTAGAGATAAATTTGTTAGTTTAGAAATCGGTTAGAAACTTCTCTAACATTATTTTAAATATTTTCATAAATTTTCTTTGAATCCGTTGAAACTTTTCCCTTTTCCTTAAAACTTTCCAAAAATTTTCATTGCAGATGGAGAGGACATTGCAGAAAAAAAAAAAATAATAAAAAAAAATAAAAGGATCCGTGCAGTGGAGATTGATGGAAGTATGCTTTAGTGTGCTTTTGGCTTAAATTTTTGGATTTTAGAACAGGGGTTTAAGGTTAATTCTTGTAAAGTAAGCAAATATTGTATGATATGCTATGTGACCTTGTAAATCGTTAACTGGTTGAAAGTTAATGCAGAGAGATGAAATGGACAGTGATGATAAGGCTGACCGTAGCTGGGCTTCCGAATTGCTAATACAAGGTCTGCACAAGAGGACATCTCAAAGTTCTGCTGAGAAAAATGAAACGAACCCACAGACAACTGTGGATATACCCGAGAAAACCAGGGATATACCTGAGGCCACATGTCCTAAAGTTGTGCCATTTGAGTTCAGAGCACTTGAAGCTTGTCTTGAGTCTGCATGCAAGTGCCTTGAATCTGAGGTATTTGGTTTCTTTCTATGGACATGTTGCTGTACTGGTAATAGTTTGTCATCTTTTCTTGCTAGTGGTTGTGCTGTTAATATGGGTGAAAATGTGAATAGTGCTGAGTTGTTCCCAATTAAAAAATTTAATCGTTGGTTCTTTTGAATCACTCTTAAAGATTATGCTTACTACAACTGAGAAAAACGTCACAAACTTTAATTATTTGTTGTTTGGTAAGTAGAATATGATGTGTTTTTGTTTTCAGCACAAGATCTCATAAATCATGTGTTTTGCCCTCCAGTCGGTGCATATGGTTAATTTGTTGACATGTTTTTCATTTGTATATTGAGCTCAATGATTATATAACTACCCTTGATGAATGGCATGAACAATTTTGTAGTATTGGAAACCTTCCAGGTTTGTTATACATATGGTGGGCTGGTTGCATAACTATAGATTTCAGGTTTATTTCTCTGGAGAATATATACAGAAAGTTATGCATTACTCTGTCTGTCTCTTTTCAATTTCTCTTCCCATCCAGTCTTAAAGATTGTCTTCAGTGGCTGATTTTTGATTTTATACTATTTTTATACTAAACAGTGAAAGACATGCATGCATGCATGCCTTGTATCAAAGAACTTTTAGGAACAAATTTATACTCAAAATTAGTTTTTGTTAGGGTCAGTATAGCTTGCATTTTCGGAATCTAACCCATGAATTTGTCCTAGTGAATTTCCAAACCGATAGATTTACAGTTCATGTTGTGAATGTAGTTTTGATCTGTTTTACTTAATTGTGAATGCATATACGTATTATTTTTTTTGTTACAAGGATTGGAGTTGGGTGCACACATGCTTGATTTTCAGCATGTTTTCAAAAGAGACATACTGAAAATCTTGAAAAATTACATTTTTGAAGTAGTAAATCTTCAAAAATGTTTTTCTCTTTTACTAGTGAAGGCTTTATTTTCAGTATTCAGGTGGTGGAGTAAAAAGTTCTAAAAATTGCAAATCTGTAAAAAATATTCAGCTTAATATTTCAGAACTATATGTAGTATATATTTAATTTAACAAATATTTTAATATATACACTCTTATAATATACACTTTTCTAATAAAGTTTTACACTTCTAAACTCAAAAGAGAATAAATAATCTCTACATTTTCTGAAGACAAAAGTGCTTTTGCTTTCCCTGTCCAAATAAAGATTCATTTGCAATATTGTCTAAATAATACTGTTATATTATATCTCATATCGAGTTTGTTCTATATGTATATTTTTCAGACTAAAACATTGGGGGAAGAGGCATATCCAGCATTGGATGAACTTACTACTAAGATCAGCACACTGAATCTTGAGCGAGTTAGACAAATAAAGTGTCGACTTGTTGAAATATCTGGTCGTGTGCAGAAGGTATACAAAAATCTGATGTTAGACAGTTGCTGTCATTTAGAGTGTTACATATGGTGAATAATTGCATTGAAAGATTAGAACTGTGGAATTTGAATAATTGATTGCTTCAAACAATTTGCTTTTACATGCCTGGGAACATAATGAGTATTTCCATTTTGTGTTCATTTTTACATGATTGCTAGTAAGCTTCATGTATTTAAATGAATGAGCCGAACTTTCTTTTCTTTTTGCTCATTGTAACTTCAGTGTAAATTTTATCTTTATATCTTGTACCATGATGTTAGTATTGCAGATATAGGTCCACAAAGATGCTATAATTTTAGCTCTGGCTGGGTTGTAGATACCTCCTATCTTTACCAAACATCTACAATTTATGATTTATATTTCTAACTTGTTTTTCTGTAAAGTAAGTTTTGACTGTAAGGAATCTGGTGTGAAGTTTTATTCTTGGTCTGGAAACTGAAATTAAAGTCATGATGATATGTTTTACAAGTGTGCCTTTCTTAAGCCTGTTAATATATATCTAATATTATTACACTTGGTAACTTGTAGGTGAGAGATGAACTTGAACATTTGCTGGATGATGACAATGACATGGCTGAAATGTGTTTGACAGAAAAACTTCTTGCTATTTCATTGGATCAGGCATCATTAGAAGAGGAAATCAACCCTGCACCCGAAGAAGAAGATGACAGGTGATGGCTAATTCCAGATCTCTAACATTATAAAGGTGCTTCTTACATATATTGGTTCTGAGGAACTTGGAATACGGCTGCTTTCTTTTTTTCATTTCTTCATCGCATGGTTATCCTATAAGAAACAGGTTAAACCATTTAAGAGAGAAGATTAAGATCATTTCGGTACTTGAACATGGTAACAGGATCTTGGCCTAAAGACAGTCACAAATGTTCAGGATTAGAAAAAAATATCGTAGTTATTGCTAATGACCTCATTTTTTTCCCCTTATTTGTTTGCTTTAAAACATAAGTTATGCCACATACTTTATAAAGATGTAAGAGGACCAAACAGAGGTTAAAAGTTTATGCCTAGATTTTATTTATGAGGAAGAATTATCGCTCTCTCTCTTGCACTTACAATCTGACCTGTTTTTTGTTTACCTTTGATAACTTAAGAGGGCCAATTGGGTTTTGTTAAACTTGAAAAATACATTTAAAAGGAACATCATTTTATCCTGTTATATGCTTTGATCTGATTAATTTGCTAATTTTTCATGGTTTATGCTCAACCAAAAGCTAAAGGTTTCTATTACGGGTTTTATTCTCGGAAGTAGATTTAATTTTCAACAAAATTTCAAACTAAACCAGCTTCTACTACAGTTTTCATAGTCAATTTTTCTTAATGTATGCTGAAGGTGGAATAGATCTACTGCAATAAGTAATTTTTTCTCCTTCATTGATATTAAAATGCAATAGAAACTGATCCTTGATGTTTAAGTCTATAGTATTTTGGAACAATCAGAGGCACCCGCATTGTATTTTTTATTGAAAATATATGAGAAATGCGCCTAAGCCATATATATTAAAACTCAATGTGGGACGTGTTTACATAACAGCAGAAGAAATTAGGACCTGAAAATCTATCAAACCAAAATGAAGAGGAGCACTATAATTAACAAGGTCTTAGAGGTTTAGGCATCAATTTATTTTTTTATTTTCCACATATATAGCTGTTATGTTTGATTCTGTGTCTTTTTACCTAGAAACTGCAATAATAATAATAATTTAGTGTTAGTAAATTAGGGATCAGGTGTGATATACTAGCAGCTGAATCACCCATCTTGGATGCTTATTCACATGGCTATCTGTTTTTGCTACCTGTGCTTCTGGTGTCTAGTATATAATGCTCCCTCTGTACTTGTCTCCTGCTTAGTGTTTTTAGTAGCTATTATATGTTTAAAAAAGTTCAGACCACTAGCTTCTTGAGGTGAATCATGCTTATATATACATCTATACACCTTTGAATGCTAGTCTTCTCACTTTTAGTTCTCCACTTTTTTGGAAGAATCTAAACAAAGGGAATTGCAAGTAGCTAAGAAATTTGTGGTTTGAAGAATATTGTTTATGCTACTTTCTGCGTCATGCACCAAATCTAGAAGATGTTAAGTAAGCTGCTCCATTGATCTCCACTTTAACCATCAGGTCCATGGACCTGCTCAACTCTACAAAAGTTGACAGTTCTATGGAGGGCCTAAGGCCCTAAGCAAAAGCCAACTGGTTAGTTTAAGTGACTAAAAGTGATTGGATTTAAATGGTTTCATTTCAACTAGGATGAAGACACTATGTTTAACATCTTTCTAAGTTCAATAATTCTATTTGCATCTAGTTCATATTTTTCCTGCAGAATGTAATGTTAATGTTAAATACCTTTGTTGTCTGTTACCTTCAAATTTAAAATTTTGGATTAAATAGTTACTTCATACTGTACTAGAGCTAGTTTGATTGAAAGATCTTGCGTTCAAATCTCCCAATTCACTGCATTTTATTTGGCTTTTAAATTTTTGTCATATATATGTCAAATGACCACTTTGACTTTCTTGTACTTTGTTTTGCGGTTTCTGAAGATGACTATACCTGCTTAATCATTCTCTCTTTTCTATTTACAATGACATTTTTTCTCAGGACTGAAGATTCAAAGTCAGAAACGAACTCTGAAATTTTCAGTAGCTTTAAGCCCAAAATTGAGGAGTTGGAGATGCTTTTAGAAGCTTATTTTGCTCAGACAGATGGCATCTTACAAAAATTATTAGATGTATGTATCTTTTGTTTAATAGTACAACTTTTACTAAATTTTTTACTGTTATGAATTTTCTTTTGGTTTCTCAAATATTACTAGCTTAGTGTGGAAAAAAGCAGTGAAGCACATAGTTGTTTACATGAATAAACTAATAATACCACAGTAGAAATTAAGAATTAAAAGTATACGGTGATTCCAATTACTTCCATATTAAAGGTACATAATATTTTCAACTATTCATAGACATACTGTAGATGCATGAAAAAATGTTCGCATGACAGAAAATAGATAGTGAAAAAGTGATTGCAAAATATATATTGCTGATAAGAATTAAATGAACTAAAGAAGTGAGGGTTGGATGTTGATGTTACTATGAAAGAGAACAACGGAGTAATTAAGTTGGAAGCTATAGAATCTATTGAATTTAAGTTAATCATGTGAGAAGGTTCACATAATCTTGAGATTAAGTTTTAAACTCAGTCCTGGTTATTACCCAAAAAAGAAGAGAAGAAAAAAACAATGTGACCGATGTTGGTGATAAAATATTTTCTCAAAATATTGAGATTAAGTTTTGTCAAATATTTTCCCCCTTCTCTTCTATTTTATTTCTTTAGACATAATATTTGAAGAAATAACTTTAAAGAGAATCCACATTCATAGTTAGTGATAAAATTTTGGAAACAACTATAGAACCACATGTTTCAGTTTACACGCTTTACTGTTATTTGCTTGGTTTGAAACTAGAATGATGTGTTATGAACACGCAAGATTGTGCCCAAATTAGTTTCGTTTCTATTGGATTCGTAATACATGTAAGATATAGGATGGAAGAGTGTGATAACAAAAAAAGGGGAAAGGAAATTGGTGTGATAGATAAAAATTTTCCTTGTATGAGAAGACAAAATGGGGTTAAAAGAAGAAATAGAATCTATTGCCTTTCCTTATTCATAAAAAAACCAATTCTTGAGACATGGTCAGAGGGACCAAAAGAGTAGAAGGGATTTTGCTAACATTTTAACCCAGAGATTTAGATTTCAGCTTGCAGTGATATATCTTTCCTTCAGGTTATCACCTCGGCTAGCTTGAAAAAGAAAATGACTCCTTTTCCTGTCATTTCATATTCATTATCTTCTCAAAGTTGTGAAAGTTAAAATGTTTAAGTAGATGACTTTTCTCTTTGTTTATCAAGTTACACTGAAATATTTGTCTATTATTTTGGTAAGATGAGCGACTATGTGGATGACACTGAAGACTGCATCAACATCATGTTGGATGAAACACAGAATCAATTGCTGCAGATGGGAGTGATGCTAAGTACTGCAAATATGATACTGAATGCCGGGATTGTTGTTGTAGGGTTGTTTGGCATGAATATTACTATTGATCTCTTTGACGCGCCAACAATAAGGTTCTGGGGAACCGTAATAGGTACAGTTACAGGTTGTATCGTTCTATATCTCTTTGCTATTGGATTGGGTGTAAAAAAGAAAATCATAGATATATAGACATGTCACCGTTACTACTCGTATGCTAAGAGGCCTTTGAATATATATTCAAGCTAAAATCTATTACCACGAGCTTTGGTGTTATGATTTTATACTTCTTGCATTGTTTTTTATTATTAAGAAATTGAAATTTAATTCTAAGAGTTTACCTTCTACCACATATGTGCTTTGGGACTGTTTCAACTTGCTGTTTCCTCCATTTGTATATGAATCATCACATATTCTTTTGTGTTTCATATTGTTTTTGTAATCTCTTTTGAGGGATTGTTTGTTTTGTGATAGTCATGAACTTGGTTGTTTACTGATTCTGATTTGTGGTCAACCATTTAAAATCCACAAAGTTTCTAATTGCTTATTTTTGGGCTCATGTGCTTTTTAACCAAATAAGGATAAATGACCTTAATGCCCTCACATGCTATGCCAATCAAATCAGTCCCAACCCTCCCCTCCTACTTTTACTTCATCTTGGCAGCTCCCAAATCCCAATGCTTATTTTAGGCATTAAAAAAATATATAAAATTAGGTAAAATATTACAGGGTGCGTTTGGCTCCCTGTTTTTATCCATATTCCCAATCCTATTCTCCAAATAATGTTTGGCACACTATTCCAGAAATATTATCCTATTTTTTTAATTACTTTTAGACCCCATAAGGTTATTAATTTCACTAAATGCCTCCTGAATTTTTTTTAAAAAAATTAACAAAAACCCCCCCATCAACCCGATTTGTCAGATTCCGGCAACCACCGCCGGTGATAGCCGGAATCTGTACAACGGCCTAAATTCTGACCATAAATAGCCGGAATTACACCGATCTGGCCTTTTCCGGCAAGATCCACCACGGATCTGGCCGGAAAAGGCCAGATCTGGACGTCAGCGACGGCCAAAGAAATGGCCGTCGTTGACCGAAAACGACGGCCACATCTTTGGCCGTCGCTGACGGTCAAAGATGGCCGTCGACGGCCATAACAGGCCCTTAGATCTGGCCTTTTCCGGCCAGATCCGTGGTGAATCTGGTCGGAAAAGGCCATAATGATGCGTTACGGCACAGATCCGATCGGTCTGTGCCGTAACGAAATTTTCTGGTCAGATTCCGACGGTGGCGGCCGGAATCTGACACTGCAGGTGGTGGGGGTGTTTTTGTCATTTTATATAGTAGGGTCTTTAATTAAATTAGTAAAAACCTATGGGCTTTTTCATAAATTTTTCAAATTTACCTCGTAATACTCCCCTATCCAACAATCCAATATTATCCTCAAAATCCTATCCAAAATACTACACCAAACACACCCACAAATTTTTATAAGAAAATAAAAAAGAAACTAACAAATAAAAAAAATGAAAAATCTAAAAAAGCTTGAAAATGGGAAAATAATATGAAAAAATAAAAAATAAAATGATCTAAAAATCGAAAAACTTTTTATTTTTAAAATTTAAAAATTAATAAAACTTTCAATTTGGCAAACATTTTTTAGATTTTAATTTCATTTTTTTAAGTATTCTTTAATTTTTCAAAACTTGTAAATTTTTTTTAATTTTTTTTTATTTAGTATTTGTCCAAGTAGGATGGAATGATGGATACAACTATATTTAGCAGCTTTTTAAATTCAAAAGTTCTATTTGCATCTACTTCATTAATTTCCTTCAGAATTTAGTGTTAAATACATTTGTTGGTGTTTCCTTTTAGTTTTTGCAGTCAATAGTACTTAATAGGTAGTAGAGCTACGGGTGTTCAGTTCTGGGTATCCTGTACTTTTTTAGGGAATCGAAATTGGAACCGGAACCGACGGTTCTTTGAAATTTGAAACCAAAACCAGAACCGACGATTCCGGTTCCTAGGTACCCAGAACCAGAACCTATAACAACGGTTCCGGTTTCGATTCTTGATACCCTATAAAATTACATGACCTCCCAAAAGTTTTTAAAATAGCAAAAAAACCCTTAAAAACTTACAAATATCCCCCACCTGTCACTTGTTAACAAAAATAAAATTATAAATTATAAATTACAAATTACAAACTCCATTACTTTGTAAAGGTAGATAGTTAAACCAATTTACTTTAAATGTTATGAAATATAAATATAAATATATTCACATTACTTTTTCTACAAAAGTTTTTATTAACCCCCCTAATCTTTAATTTTATTTTATATTAGTCTCGATTCCTGGTTCTTGGTTCTGATTCTGGTTCCTATAGTTAGGAATCGGAACCGGAATCGCACAGTAACGGTTCCAAAAATTTGGAACCAGAACCTACCCATTGACGACTAATTCTGGATAAAAACTGAAACCAAACCCAAGATATCTATCGATTTCCATTCCAATCGGTTCTTTTTAACACCCCTAAGTAGAGCCACTTGATTGAATTCATAGCCATTCTTGATGGCAGCGACGGCGGCGTGTTTTCAAGAAATTCTAGCACTACTCAGTATGGGTAGGAGTGCCATTTACAATATCAAGATTTCGGCTCAAGTTTCCCTCCACAACTATAATTAAATGTTCAATAATTACGTACAAACGACGGTTGCCTTTTTAAAAAAACCAACGGTCAATCCAACACCCTAATCATCCCCAGCCGTCCGATTAAGTTCCTAATTCGTGTAATGCTTTTTTTAGGTGATTTAATGCTCCTGATTTAAGAAATCTGCATGCTCTACTTCGACTTCTAACGCAAGGGCTTTTGTTTTCCCTACAAACCTCCGCACTAACCCTGGCCCTTTACCTTCTCTTCTCAACTCAATTCCTCTCAAATGTCCTAATCTCCGTTTCATAATGGCAACTAAGAAGCCAAAACCCAAGGAAGAACTACCAGATGCTTCCTCCTCCGAAGATGAAGAGGGTTCCTCTGGTGATGAAGAAACTGAAGAACCTACAGAACATTCTTCTCCTCCTCCTCAACAAACCCAGAAACCAATCCACTCTGTTGCTTCTGCCCCTCAATCCAAATCCTTTAGCTCCGAAGAAGATTCCGAATCTGAGTCCGACGCCGACCCGGAATCAGCTCCTAAACCTATTGCCACCAAAAACATGAAGGAATCCCCAAAAGCCACCACCACAAAACCAAGGTCGAAAGCTCCGGCAAAACGCCCCAATGAGATGGAGGAGTCTCTGAAAGACTCGAAACGGGCGAAGAAGAAAACGGGTGCGGATCCGGATGATGAGGATCAGAAGAAGCCGCTAGAGGATACAAAGAAGCAGCTTTTTCAAAGGGTATGGAGCGAGGAGGATGAAATTGCTGTATTGAAGGGGTTGATTGCTTTCACCACGAAAAAAGGGATCGACCCATATCAGAATACGAATGCTTTTCATGATTTTATCAAGAAATCGCTTCACGTGGATGTTACAAGAACTCAAGTGATGGACAAGATTAGGAGATTGAAGAAGAAGTATGAGAACAATCTTGGCAGAGGGAAGAAAGGTGAAGATAGGACTTTTTCGAAACTCCATGAACGACAAGCTTATGATTTGTCTAAAAAGATATGGGGCAATGGAAGTACTAGTGGTGTCCTTGAATCGGCGGCAAAGTATAACGCAGAAGCCAAAAAGAATCAAAACCAGAAAGGGAGTAGTGAGTCCTTAGCTCTTTTCAAAGCTGAGTTGAATGATGGAGCTAAGGAAGGGGAGAAGATGGATATTGATAATGATAAGAAAGGGAGCCTGAGCAGTGAAAAAGAGATGCTTTTGTTTGATAAGAGTGTTGGGATGGCTGATTTGAAGGAGTTTGTAATCAACCAGGGTTTAGATATGATTGGAGGAGCCAAAAAAGCAGAATTGGAGGAAAGGTGGAAGAAGCTGCAGATTGCTCAGTTGCAGTTGTTTGTGGAGCGGAATGATTTGATTAAGGAGCAGACTGAGATGATTTTGGAGGCCATGAAATCATCCGGTCATTAGGTTATTGGTTGTTCCGTGGTATAAATTATGCTTTTTGTGGTGGTTGTTTTGAGAATGATTAATTAAGCTATTAATGTTTTGTGTTTAGTGTTGGCTAATTGTGGAATTCTGTGGTATTTGTGATTATATTATTCTCTTGAAAGGAGGGTAGTTTAAACTTCTTATGGCCTCATAAATATGTTTAATGTTTATGACTTGCTCATTTTGGTTTAATCATCTGCAACTTACTTAAGTTAAATAGTCATACTATTTAACGTTTTGTTGGTTCTTAGCTGATATAATTGCTTATTCCTTTTAAGTGTTGCTAGTGAACCTTCTTAGCAGGACTAGCATATGTACATTCATATCATCTTTTGATAGTTTTTAATCTCTGTTGAGGCTATTTGATCCACATTCATATAAAGTATACATATGTATTTATTGTTTTAGTTAAGTGAGACTGACTTTAAACTTCACTGGTTTTGAGATTCTTGTATTGGCATGTGCTTCTGCAAATGCTCGCTCTAGTAAGTAATATTTGATAGATGTATTAGTTGTATTGTGGAGGTACTTGCAGATTTTTGGAATTGCTTTGTTTGTCACTCTGTCATCCTTTTGCCTGTATCTCATGTCCAATTGTTCATAGAGTGCTGTTGGTTCCTCTGCATGAGAAAATTCTCATTTCATTGGTTTTTTAGTGCATTTCTTTTTTATCATGTTAATTGAGAAACAACTTGTATACATGTTCAAGGTATTAATTTATAGTCAAGAATCACAAAGGAAGAAGAAGAAGTTGAATTTACTTTTATTGTGTTTGTGTTTTAAGTTTAGTCATTTCTTTGAGTTGGATTTGTAATACATGTATGATATAGGGCAGAAGAGTGCGATGACAATTTTCCTTGTATGGTAAATCAAGAAATTGAAGTTATTTCATTTCCTTGCCCATCAAAAGACTAGAAGTTAAATATTTTGTCTTGGAGATTTAGGTTTGAGCATGCAATGGCACCTCAGCTTGCTTGAAATAGGAAATGGTTGCTTTTCTTTCGTCCAAATTGTAATCCTTTCATCTCACATTCATACTTGGCATACTTTAAAATGTTTCTCTTTCTTGCTTTCTCATAGTTACACTGAAGTATCTGTATATTATTTTGGTAACTCTCATTGAGGCACCAACGCTAAGGTTCTGGGAAACCGTAATAGGTACAGTGGCAGGTTGGTCGTTCTACATCTCATTGCTATTGGATGGGCTGTAAAAAAGAATATCAAAAACTGTTTCTGATGGAAATGCTCATGCTAAGAGGCTTGATTGGTTTTAATATGTTCAAGCTAAAATCTATTACCACCAGCTATAGTGTAATGATTTTATCTCTTCTTAGACGAACTCATTTATTATAGCTACCACTTTGCCTTTTGCCTTTTAAACTTGACTTTTGAGCCTCACTTCATCAACTACTTTATAAATCCAAGAACTATACGGGTGACAATATGACACAAATCCTACACTATTTGAGCACGTGATGGTTTATCTTAATCGTATTTATGACAAGCTTAACCGTGAGACTATTAATTATTAATAATAACACGACTAATTGTTTATGACATGATTATTCGCTTTTTTACACATACATTTATTTATAACATGGTTAAAAATTATTAATAAACGAGTTTAGTGAAACATGTTAAATGACCCAAGTGTGTCATAAACGGATGGGTAGTCGTATTGTGACACATATATATGTTTAATAAGTAGGTTATGCGGGTTATATTTATATCACCATTTAATAATCACGTGTTAATTGTATTACGATATTTGTTCATGATTAATTAAAAAGCTGTATCTAAGTTGACTTAAATTTTATTTTGCCACTCTTAAGTCTTAACCATAAAGGGTGCATTTGCTAGCTAGTTAAAGATTGGATTATCCTAGGTTTTTTTTTTTTTTTTTTTAAATTAAGACTATATATACTAAAGAATTAAAAAAAAAAAAAAATCAAATCTTCTTACATATTTAAGTAAAATAAATTCGAAAGTGAATAAATTTAAGCTTTATATTTTAATTATTTAAAAGAGAAATATTAAGAATGTTATCTTAATCATTCTCTTTCTGAGACTTTCTCACCCTCTCAACATGTATACTTAAAACCTCGATATAGATTAAGTTTTTCCCTGATAAAACTTCATACTAGTATGTCACCCTTAATTAGAGCCCTTGGATCATGGTATTCAGCTCCAGAATCGCAATCCAAGGGCCCATATTACCTTGAAGAATCAAAATCAGAACAATTTTATATTTAAATTACGAAAATGCGCCTCCCTTGAATAGGCCTATTTCAAATTCCGTTATCAACTGGCGGGACAACAAGTTAAACGCCTGCACCACGATTCGGTTGACGCATCTTTCACAAAAGTCAATGGCTTCTTCAAATTCCACTCCACCGACGGCCGGCGACGACGACGACAGAGAACCGTTTTCGGTCCCGCCGCGACAGAAAGTCTTGGGGACGAAGTCGTGGCTGGTAGTATCAGAATTAGGCGAGTCACGCAATGAGAAAGTCGGCAAGTACTGGATCATGCGGCGGACGGGACTCCCGGCACGTGACCTGCGCGTGCTTGATCCGATGCTGTCTTATCCCTCTACGATTATGGGGCGAGAGCGTGCCATTGTTGTTAACTTGGAGCACATTAAGGCTATTATTACGGCCAAGGAGGTCTTCTTGCTAAACTCTATTAATCATTTGGTTGTAGAGTTCGTTCAAGATCTTCAGCATCGTATTTCTTCTCTTCATGGAACGCCTACGCGACAGGTTTATGAATATTATTTATTTACTTATTTGGTTATAATTAATAAATCTATTTTTGTCTATATTCAATTTAAATGAAATGTTAAAATCAAATTATTATAAAGTAGTGGGGCTGAAAAATAGCGCTTTTTTAAAAAACTCTCTCACGAAATAACAAAATGGCATTTTACACAAATTTAAAGGGCGAAAACACCCTCATATACCTCCCCCCATAACAAACCTTTTAACTATTGAGGTTAGTTTTACCCAAGAAGTCTTGTGTTTGAGTTACAGGAGAAGTATCTATCACATTTATGCAATTACCTTGGTCTATTGAGCTTGTAGGGTATTCCGTGACCTTAAGGAATAGATAGGTTCCAATGTGGGTCGGGACTTGGGATACCTCATATACCAAAAAAAAAAAATACCCCCATATAAATAAACCCTAACACATTCACCCATCTTCTCCAAAGTTAGACTAACACTCACCTCCATTGAAGAATTTGAAAACCAAAGTTCTAAACCAATTCGTAATTCGATTTTTGTTTAACCTTTCTTATAGTGAGCATTTGCTGGTTTCAGAAATATCATCAATTTAACCTTCAAATTTATCAACAATTTCATCAATTTAACCTCAAAAAAATATATTCATCTCTCAAAATTATTGACAGATTTTGGATGTTAGATTGACTGAATTCGAATGAATAATAAAAACGTTATTTTTTCCAAACTTAAATAAAATAATCTAATAATCTATGTAATGGGGTTAGTGTTGTATATTCTAAATCAATGAGTGCTTACATGGAAAAGGCTAAATGCACAAGAGTTAAGACATGTTTTTGAAACCAAGTGAGTGATCACTAGACCTGGCAAAACGGGTTCAGACCTGCGGGTTGGCCCATACCCGGGTAAAAAATATAGGGTATGGGTCCAATATATTGAACCTATACCCGACTCGACTCATATAACTGACATGTTATATGGGTGAACCCCTGGGTACCTGTTTTTGCAAATCCCTAACCCCCTACCCTAACTTAGCAACTCAACTCTATCCTGCCTCTTATCTCTCTCGCCTCTCAATCTTCAAAATAACATTCACTCTCGCCTCTCAATCTCTGATCAGTCAATTGAGTACCTCCCTTTTTGCCGTCTTCTTCATACCTCAACTCCCTCTTCGATTAATCGTCAGTCATCAGTACGGCAGTACCTCACCTGATTCATTCATCCAGCCCGTCTTTCCCGTATAGGGAGTTGATTTGGTGGGTGGAAGCGCAGATGGGAAGGGGAGGGAAGGTTACTTCTAGGGGAGATGTGAAGAGAAGGGTTAGGTCAAAAGGTAAGGGTTCTGATGATTCTGATGAGGATTATGTGGTTTTAGATGAAGGGAATGATGTATCTGAGGATGAATTGGAAGATTATTGTTCTTCCATAGATGGATGTGCGTCGGAAGAGAATTTTGGTGGTTTTGTGGAAGAGGAGGAGGAAGTAGAAGAAGAGAAGGAAGTGAGGAAGGTTATTGGATCGAAAGCGGGAAAGAGTAATTTAGGAAATGGGGCTAAAACATCATGAAAGAGGAAAAGGGTTTTGTACGGAGATGAAGAAGATGAGGATTATGAAGGGGAGCAGGAAGAAGAGGATGAGGAGTTTACCCTTGATGAAGATGATTGTTTGGATGATGAAAAGGAATTGGTGGTCACGAAGAAGAAAAACAATAGTAGGAAGAATAAGAAGTTGGGTAGAAAANGATTGACTGTATTCGAATGAATAATAAAACCGTCATTTTTTTCACACTTAAATAAAATAATCTAATAATCTATGTAATGGGGTTAGTGTTGTATATTCTAAATCAGTGAGTGCTTAAATGGAAAAGGCTAAACGCACAAGAGTTAAGACATGTTTTTGAAACAAAGTGAGTGATCACTATAAAAAGGCTAATCACACGAGGTTTACTATAAAAGTCCTAAGGAACAGGGTCGCAATTGGAAAATTCAAATTAGGCTAAGAATAGTTTTGTAATTACAATGCATTTACTAAGGGCTTTTTCGTCCTAAAATTTGTTATTAACTTATTTATTATTTGTTTAGAAGCTAGGCCGTGCCTCTTCAATGATCCGTCCGAGTAGAAGGCTTAATGAAGTAGTGATAAATTTATTAGTTTTGAAACAGGTCAGAAACTTCTCTTGATATGATTTTCATTATTTTCATAAATTTTCTTTGAATCCGCTGAACTTTCCCCTCATTTCTTAAAACTTTTGAAAAATATTCATTGCAAATGGAAGGGTCATTGAAACCAAAAAAAAGGAAAAAAAAATTGGATTCCTATATGGAGATTGATGGGTGTATGGTTTAGTGTGTTTTTGGGTTAAATTTTTGGATCTTAGAACAAGGGTTTAAGGTCAATTCCTGTGAAAGGCAATGCAGAGAGATGAACTGGGCAGTGATGATAAGGCTGAGTGGCCAACACAAGGTCAGCGCCAGAGGACATCTCAAAGTCCCGCCGAGAAAAATGATTTCAACCCACAGACAACAGGGGAAATAGCTGAGGCCGAATGTCCTAAAGTTGTGCCATTTGAGTTTAGAGCACTTGAAGCTTGTCTTGAGTCTGCGTGCAAGTGCCTTGAATCTGAGGTATAAATTTTTGTTGCAAGGATTGGAGCTGTGTATGTGAAAGCGAGACAGAGACATAAAAAGTGTTTTTGCTTTTCTTAACTTGTTGTTAGGTGCGTATTGTCATTTTCAAAATAATATTGTTATATCATATCTCATATTGAGATTGTTATGTATATTTATCAGACTAAAACATTGGAGGAAGAGGCATATCCAGCATTGGATGAACTTACTACTAAAATCAGCACACTGAATCTTGAGCGTGTTAGGAAAATAAAGAGTCGACTGGCTGGAATATCTGGTCGTGTGCAGAAGGTATACAAAAATATGATGTTGGACAATTGCTGCACTATAGACTGCTATATAGTGCATAATTGCTTAATTGCCTTGAAAAGTCATTTGGTAAAACTATGTGGAATTCCAATAATTGATTACTTCAAATAATTTGCTGTTACACATCTAACATATGTCTGTTTCCATTTCGCATTCGTTTTACATCAGTATGTATTGCTTTATAGTTTTTCTTAAATTGTTTATCTAATAGAAAGAGGACACTATCCTAATAAAATATGCTAGTGTGCAAAAAATCATGTTTCTATTAAGCTTCATGTATTAAGTGACTGAACCGAACTTTCTTCTTTCTCTCTTTCTCTCTCTCTCTCTTTTTTCATTGTAACTTCTAGAGAAAATGTTAACTTCATATCTTGCACCATGATGTTAGTATTGCAGATATAGGCCCACAAAGGTGCTATGATTTACCTCTGGCTGGATTGGAAATACCTATCTTTACCTAACATCCACGAATTGTGATTAATATTCCTAATTTGTTTGTCTGTAAAGTAAATTTGACCGTAAGGAATCAGGTGTGATGTTTTGCTCTTGGTCTGGAAACTGAAATTGAAGTTATAATAATATCTTTCACTAGTATGCCTTTCTTAAGTCTGTTAGTATATATCTAATATCATTGCATCTGGTAACTTGTAGGTGAGAGATGAACTTGAACATTTGCTGGACGATGACAAAGATATGGCTGAAATGTGTTTGACAGAAAAGCTTATTTCTAATTCATTGGATGAGGCATCATTGGAAGAGGAAGTCAACCCTGCACCTGAATTAGAAAATTACAGGTGATGGCTAATTCCAGATCTTTGAGATTATAAAAGTGCTTCTTATATATAGTGGTTCTGAGGAACTTGGAATGCAGCTGCTTGTTATTTTAATTTCTTAATTGCATAGTTATCATCTGAGAAACAGGTTATGTACAAAACCATTTAAGTGAGACAGTTGGTCAGTCGGTCATAAGTGTTCAGGATTAGAAAATATTATCATATTTATTGGTAATATTTCATTTTTTTTCCTTTTTTTGTTTGCTTTAAAACAAAAGTTATGCCACATAATTTATAAAGATGTATAAGAACTAAACAGAGGTTAAAAGTTTATGTCAATTTTATTTATGAGGAAGAAGTTTTGCTCTCTCTCTATCACACACACAATTGGAGCTGTTTTATGTTTGGCTTTGACAACTTAAGATGGCCAATTGGGTTTTGTTAAATTTGAAGAATACATTCAAAAGCCACATCATTTTATCCTCTTATATGCTTTGATCTGATTAAGTTGCTATTTTTCATGACTTATGCTCAACCAAAATCTTCTTTTACAGTTTTTATTCTTGGAAGTTAATATAAATTGTCAAAAAAAGAATTCTAGTTAAATCTGTTTCTATTACAGTTTCCATTGTTTGTTTTTCTTAATGCGGACCGAAGGAGGAGTAGATCTATTGCAAAAAGTAATTTTTCTCCTTCATTGATATTAAAATGCGACAGAAAACGGTCCTTAGTGTTAGAGGTTTAGGTATCAATTTACTAATTTATTTTCACCATATATAGCTGTACTGTTTGACTTGTGTGTTTTGGGGAGAACATACCTAGCGACTTCAATAATCTTATAATATAGGGTTAGTAAATTAGGGGTCAGTTGTGATGCACTAGCAGCTGAATGACCAGGCTTGGAAACTTATTCACGAGGCTATCTATTTTCACTACCTTTGCTTTCTTTTTTAGAACTTCTTGAAATTGTATAATTTTGGGGTTTGATTTTTCCTTTGCTTTCATTTTATGGTATCTATTATATACTCTCCTTCTGTACTTGAGTCCTGCATGGTGTTTTTAGTAGTTATTATTTGTTGAAAAAAGTTCAAACTGCCGGTTTCTTGAGGTAAATCATGTTGACGTATATATACCCCTATGATGCCACTCCCTGCACTTTTAGTTCTTCGGTTTCTTGGAAGAATCCAAACAAAGGGAATTGCAGGCAGCTAAAAAGCGTTTTGCTTTAAAGAATATATTGTTTCTGTTACTTTCTACGACATGCACCAAATAATGGAAAAAATCAAGCAGCTGCTCCATAGATCTCCAGTTTAACCATAAGGTTCATGGACCTACTCAAATCTACAGAAGTTGATAGTGCTGCCTATGGAGCGCCTAAGGCCCCAAGCAAAAGCCAGCTGGTTAGTTTTTAGTGACTAAAAGTGATTAGAATGGTTTCTTTCCAATTAGGATCAAGACATTATGTTTATCAGCTTTCTAAATTCTATAATTTTATCAGCATCTACTTCACAATTTTCATGCAGAATTTAATGTTGAAGTTAAATACTTTTGTAGTTTGTTACCTTTAAGTAAGTTTTTGGATTCAACGGTTACTTAATATGGTACTAGAGCTAGTTTGATTGAAAGGTCTTGCGTTCCCAATTGATTGCATTTTTTTGCCCATAAATTTTTGTCATATATGTGTACTGATCACTTTGACTCACTTGCTCTTCATTTTGCAGTTTCTGAAGATTATTTTACCTGCTTACTTATTCTCACTTTTCTATTTACACTGTTGCTTTTTCTCAGGGCTGAAGATTCGAGGTCAGAGAAGAACTCTGAAATTTACAATGACTTTAAGCCCAAAATTAAGGAGTTGGAGATGCTTTTAGAAGCTTATTTTGCACAAATAGATGGCGTCTTACAAAAATTATCTGATGTATGTGTCTTTTGTTTACTTTTATCTTTTAATAGTTCAACTTTTATCAAAAAATTATTGTGTTTTGAAATTTTTATTGAGTTTCTGAAATATTACTCGTTTAGTGTGGCTAAAAGAAGCACATAGTTGTTTAGATTAATACAATAATACCATAGTAGACACTAAGAATTAAAATTATTTGGAGATTTCGATTATTTCCATATTAAAGCTCCATAAAATTTTCAAATATTTATAGACATACTGTAGATGCATTAAAAAATGTTAGCATGGCAAAAAATAGATAGTTAAAACGTGATTGCAAATTTTATATTGCTGGAAAGAATACAATGAGAACACACACACACACAAAAAAAAAAAAAAAAAAAATGTTTGGAATATTGATGTCTCTATGAAAGCTTAAGAATTACTGAACTTAAGTTAATTATGTGAGAAGGTTCACATAATCTTGAGATTAAGTTTTAAACTCAGTCCTGGTTAGTACATAAAAAAGAAAAGAAAAAAACAACATGACAGTTGTTGGTCTAGTATTTTGAGATAGATAAAACCTTTCAGTGTAGTCATCCACAGTTCTGTCAAATATTTTTTTGCCTTTTCCTTCACCAGCTTTTCCCTCTTTTCTATTTGGTTTTGTAGACAAAATATTTCAAGAAATAACTTTAAAGAGAGGCACTTTTGTAATTAGTAATAAATTTTTGAAATAACAATACAACCACATGTTTTTTAGCTCACATGGTTCATTGTTATTTGTTTGGTTTAAAACATCAATGTCTTGTTAAGAACATGCAAGATGTATGCCTCAATTGGTATTGTGTCATTGGATTCTTAATACATGCATAAATGATATAGGATGGTAGAGTGCAATGACAAAATAGGGGGGAAGGAAATGGGTGTGATAGATCACAATTTTCCTTGCATGGGAAGACGATGTGGGGTAAAAGCAGAAATTGAAGATTATTTCCTTTCCTTGCCCATAAAAAGATTAGAAGGGAATTTTCTTAAACATTTTGGCGTGTAGATTTTTAACTTGCATGTATGTCTCTTTCCTTTAGGTTATCATGTCAGCTAACTTGAGTCAGGAAATGTTAGCTTTTCCTTTGTCCAAACCATAGTCCTTTCATTTCACGTATTCTATATGTTTCATACTTGGCATGCTGCTTGATGTCAATGCACTTCAAATTATGTTGTATGCATAGGTTATAATGTGTAAGTAGATGATTTCTCTCTTTCTTTCTCATAGTTCCACTGAAATATGGTGTCTATTATTTTGGTAAGATGAGTGAGTATGTCAGCGACATGGAAGACTGCATCAACATCATGTTGGATGAGACACAGAATGAATTGCTACAGATGGGGGTGATCCTAAGTAGTGCAACTGTTATACTGAATGTTGGCATTTGTATTGTGGGAACATTAGGCATAAATATTCATATTGATCTCTTTGAGGCGCCAACGATAAGGTTCTGGGAAACCGTAATATGTCTAGTGGCAGGTTGTGTTGCTTTATATCTCATTGCTATTGGATGGGGTGTAAAGAAGAATCTCATAGATGTATAGACCTTCTTTTGTGGAAAAAGCTCTTACTACCTGCATGCTAAGAGGCTTGATTCCTGAATGCTGAATGTATTCAAGGTAAAATCTATTAAACGAGCTATATAGTGTAATAATTTTATACTTGCATTAACAAAATTTGATACATGTCTTCTTATTTTAAGGTAAAACATCTTATTAATACATATGACAAACATTAAATGTATAAATGTAACATAATATTTAAGTTACAAGAAGATCATTTCAAGTTACACGGTTTCCTCTGATATTCAGAACTCTATTAACTAGAGCCAGATATAGAAAGTGCACCCTATCTTTTCATTTGCTGCTATAACTAGAACCTGTAGACCAACTTTTATTGAACAAAATTCTTTAATATTAATCAAAATGTGGAAGCTTTATAATTTATAAAGCTTCAACAACCCACAGAATAGGTATCGCAAACTCTATAAGAGGTGCAAAAGAATCATTGAATCAAATTTGGTGCTAATTCCTAGGTTATGAAGCACTAGATTTCTTGTCAAAACAAACACTACCTAAGAAAATTCCATTCCAACTCATTCTTCAGGGAATCAGATTGCATAGTTAGGGGTGAGCATGGGTAATGGGTAGACTTGAAACCAGTGGATATCCACCCATTGGTTTTAGGTACAAACCGGAATCGGCCCACACAAGCTCGGTTTCGGCTCCAAATTTGGTGGAACTGGTCCTGTGTAGGTCTAGGTTCGGTTCCACCACTTCAAGAATTGAACCTGAAACTGATGGATATCCAGGGTGTATTTATAATTTTTAGGGGTATATTTGTTATTTTTTAGAATATAAAGGGGAGGGGGAAAAAAAATTTACAGGGTATCCGAAATTAAAGCCGAAACCTGTGTTATAGGTTTTGGTTTTGGGTACCCAGGAACCAAAACTGATTAGTTCTGGTTTCGATTCCAATTCCTTCGAATTGGGTTGGATATTGAGACCTGCTCACCCTTACACATAGCTGGTGACAAAACCCATAAGTCATCATACTACTCGTCATAAGTAAGGTTGTCTAAGTGACTAAACCTTATTTCATACTATACAATGAAAGACATGCATAAAGTGCTTTGTATCAAAGAATTTTAAGGAACAATTTTATACTAAAGTTAAGTATTTGTTAGTGTCTCAAACCCAAAGATATTTAAGGTTGTGAAAGTAGAGCTAGCATTTTTAGAATCTAACCCTAAAATGCTATGGGCATACCGTTCATAGTCTCTTGGGCTTACATGCATAAAATGTCATGGCCTTACCTTTTAAAGATACCTTGGGCTTATATTTAGAAAACTTCATAGGCTTTATTTGGAGATCTGAAGAAGCTAGCTCAAAGTGAAGCTTTGAAGCTTAAATTGTAGCTTTGTACCTTAATTGGGGTCTCAATTGTATGATCGAGTCTAGGGATGGCAATGGCCAACGATCGCCATCCCCGTCCCCAACCTGACACCTGATTTTATTAACCGAGGACGGGTCGGGGATTCCTCAAAAAGAAAAGGCAATCCCTATCCTCATCCTAGCCTAACCCAAAAATTCTTTAAATTAAATTTCTATAATGGATTGTTTTGAATTTTTTTTTTTTTTAAAGTTAATATAAACTTTATTGTGTCATATTGTCAGTTATACTAATTTAAAAAAGGTAAATTAGCAATTAGCAAAAAGTTAATTAAATAAATATAGATTATATAGAGTTACCTTAGTGATCTTAGTTCTTAACATATTCTTTTTTTACCTTATATATACCGTGCAAGCTATAGAAAATTAATTATTAATGTCATATTAAGAGAATGATTATCTCTTACAAAAAAAAGTATATATTCTATTCAGTTTTGAATTAGAAAAAATATAATATCAAAGATATTTATTTACTTTTAAAAACTCCTCAAATCTAAAGAGGTATTTCCTTAAATCTTAATATAATTCTATCTTAGTTATTATATTTAACACCCAAAATATTTATTCCTTAACTATAATAGGTAGGTCATATAAAATAAGTTTTCTAGAAATGATATTGAAAGTAAAATTATTTATTTTGCTTTGCTTTTTTTTTTTTTTTTGAAAAAATATTTTATTTATTTAATGTTTAAATCTTGTAAGGATTTTGGGCCGGGCTGGGGATTAGAACCGATTCCCGTCCCCAACTCGAAATCAATGTGTGGATGATTTTTCATCCGCATCCCCGATTTTTCACACTTAACACCAGGCCCGAGGAATTTTGCCATCCCTTATCAAGTCTTCAATGTATGATTGGGCCTCCCTTGACAAAAGTGGCCATCAACAATTCTAAAATGCATGTGTTTGATAATTGTAACGTATTATGTTCTTTTGTGATAAATTATCTATTTATTTTTAAGTTACAAATGAAATTTATATGCTAAAGAAATTATTTGCTTTTATGACTACTGTTGGTGGTCTTTTGTATTTCTGGAAAATTGACAAAAAAATAAAACAAATATAGCGAAATTGATTATGGATAACGAAGGGTCCACTATTGGCTTGAGCCTAATGGCGGATCGCTGCACTCTTTTTCTTGGACTTGGACCACGCTTTCTGAATAATGTTGAGCCAACTGGTAACCCCCTTACAAGAGCTCACTTCAAAGAGCGTCTCGTTATAGCCTTATCATCACTAAAGTCAAACAAAGAAGACCAATGGCTAAATTTGGTTTGACACCAGATTGTGTCAAACAAATTGTAAGAAACCTGTTGGGTTTGTGAGATTTTGCCTTTTGACGTTAATTTTTTTTTTTTTTTTTTTGATAGATCCCATAATTATGAAAGAATAAAAAATTACAACTAAAGAGAGGGGACTCCCTCACGAAAGCCGACCCTTGGACAGGCCCAAGGGTACACAAAAGAAGCAAAAGGCAAAGGATATCCAATCCTTATACACAAAAGCAAGCAAAACCAAGGAAATAGAAACTACAACCTTGAGAGCTTCAAAACCACACACCCCTAAAAAAGGGCAGCAGAATCTACCTAGCGACAGCACTATACACATGCTGCCAAAAACAAGAAAACCACTCTACACAAACTGCACTGCCTAGAAAAAAAAAATACCTCTCTAACTCAACACAAACAGCTGCAAACTCCCAGTAGCCAACAAAAAACCAGCAAACTGTTGCAAAAAAAAAACTGGCCATAAACAATTTGTCTACTGCTGCAAATTAATTTGGATGTATGGTAATTTGCAGCACGTGTTTCAGATGGAACAAGAAGAATATACGAACTACATAGATGTGCTGCAGTTCTATATTTGACTCAATTGGCATTTGTCAAAAGGTATCTGTTTGTTCTTATATTTTTGGAGATATGGTCTAATGATGACAGGGGGAGCCACAGAAGATTCCAAAAGCTGCTCTTCATCAATTATGCCAAAGATTAGTGTGGGAAGCACCAAAATTTAGTAAAATAGTCGGGAAAGAAAATATTTTCTGTTATTTTGTTAGTGTATGCATTGCTGCTTTAGACTGCTGCATTTTATGCAGAGTCCATGATTTTTGTGCAGTTGGTGCAGATTGATGGTGCTGGATATGAATTGTATTACTGATCATGTGCAAATACACGGAAACCATAATTATTCACATAAAAGAAAATAAAAGTTCATGAAAGATGTTATGCCTAAAAAATTAGGGCTAACGTAGGCTCACGTCAACAAGGACTAATCAGGGTTCAAGAAGACATTGTGCCGTCCAGGCACTGCCACATCATCCAAGGACAGAAGGAGTAAGAATGTCATCCGCTTGGCAGGTAAAGGCCAAGCGAGTGAGTGGCTGGGAGTCACCCACTTGCCAAGGCCCTGGGCGATTTAAGGATATCTTCCGTGCAACAGGCCAATGAGGAGCAGGTTAGGAACTGCACGACACCTGCCCGCTGAGAGACCCATAATCATTACCAAAAACCTCTTACTATTAATAGAGAGCTCCCCTCTATTTTTCGGGATTCTAGTCCTAATAAAAAAAAAAAAAAAACACTCTTTCTCCCTCTTTGTATTTATGCTCTCTTAGATCGTTGCATGCGACCTGATTGTACTCTTTCATAAATAAACAGACAGTGGACGTAGGATTCGCTTTGAGCATCTGAACCACTTTAAAAATTGTCTCCCTATTATTTGATTCATTTTTCAGTTCACGTATAATCTCTAAGTCCGCTTAGCACTTTGCACGTGTGAATAGTTGGTGTCAAAATCCAGCATCAACAGTTTAGCGCTAAAAAGAGAGCCTGATTTAGTATCTACTTTTCATCAGGAATCTTTGATCAATCGAATCTATTCGCTAGCAAATAGCCCGTGGTTTCGAAATCGAGCGAGCTTGCCCTAGCAACGAGGAAGTCCCACGGGTACAGGATGACACTTCTCCGGAAGTGCCCTCGATTCAGCATAGTACCTCAGCAGACATTCCTTCGAGCTCACAGCTTGACCCAGCTATAATAGATTACCTGGAAAGGTTCAACAATACTCTCCAAATGGTTAACCAAAGGTTAAACCATTTGGACTAGGTCATACCACCCAAGTCCGACAAGGCGGTGCTACCACTAAAAATGTTTATAGATCGCGCTAAAGTGCCAAAACGGGCGAAGGCCTATGCTAGGCTCAGTACAATGCAAAAAGGCAAGGGAAAGCAGGTGGCGGATAGTGGGCCTAAAAGCTCCAAGGGACTAGTGAATACCAGTAGCGAAACAGGTAGAATACCCATGGCTTTGCGACTTGGTGACATGTCGCATCATGAACTGTCCCACGCCACATCGCATGGACACCCCCAAAAGAGTGTAATGCAGGGAAACCCCTAGTAACCGCGGGTTAGTTCTGACCACCACGGAGGTCGAGCTAACTCCCCAAACCTTTCATTGCCTTCACACGGCTCTAATCAGCGTGTGTTAAGATATGTCAGAGCCTTTGGCCGAGGCGAGAAAGAGTCCGATCTGTGGTCTTTCCTCAATCGTAATCGAGAGGGTCGAACCCACGTTACGAAAAGTGATCCCCAGGTAGCTGCGCTGCCTCAGATCAAGGAGTTACAGCAAGCTCTAGGTCAACTTAGAGCTCAGCAAAATGAGCGCAAGCATGTCGCTGAGGCGTCTCCCTTTTCTCCCGTAGTGTTAG